CATAGTTATTTGAGGCATTACCTCCTCAAGACCAAAGCTTATGTTCTCATACTACATTATGAATACTATTGAAATAGAACGTGGTTAAGAATGAGAAATAGAAATAGAATTGGGATCGAAAGTATTCATGTTTAATACCTAAAAATAGGAAGAATATATAACCAACTAAGAAAACTATCACCCAATACCTAAAAAGAGGAACAATATATAACCAACTAAATCTTGTAAATAAATAAAATATACGGTTAATCAAATCTAAATCTAACCTAAAATATACTACTGAACCGATCCATAAATATCTCAAATATACTCATAACTAATTATTAAAATATATCTCCAAATATCATCTCTTAATACTTCCTCTCAAGTTTGAGAGTATATGTCAATCACACTCAACTTGTCTTTCAAAAAATCAAACTGATGTCTTCCCAAAGCTTTAGTAAAAACATTTGCCAATTGCATTTTAGTCGAAACATAACATGGTTTGATGATTCCAACTTGTAACTTTTCTCGAACTATATGACAATCTATTTCAATATTTCGTACGTTCGTGAAAAACTGGATTGTCTGCTATATGTAATGCTTCTTGATTATCCCAATATAATAATGCTGGTTCGGACAGTGGAACATTCAAGTCCTGAAGAATGTATCTTAACCAAGTTAACTCTAAACAAGTATTTGCCATAGCTCAATACTCGGCTTCTGCTGATGATCTGGACACATTAATCTGCTTTTTAGACTTCCAAGAAATAATTGGATTTCCGAGAAAAATACAGAACCCAGAAATAGACCGTCTGGAAGTTTGACAGCCATCTCAATCAGAATCGCAATATGCTTGTAATCTTAAATTGTTTTCAGATGGTAGTAGAAGTCCTTGACCAGAAGTGTCTTTGATGTATCTTAGAACTCGAAGAGCTGCCTCCCAAATGTGGTTTTCTTGGTTCATGCATAAATTGGCTAAGCATATGAACTAAATAAGCTATGTGAGGCCTTGTGACGGTCAAATATATTAATCTACCAATCAACCGTCTGTATTTACTTGGATCATTCAACTTCTCTCCTTCAGTTAAACAAAGTTTCAGATTTTGCTCCATAGGAAATTTGTTTGGACGTGCTCCTGTAAGACCTGTGTCTTGAAGAATGTCTAGAGCATACTTCCTTTAAGACATAAAAATTCATTTTCTAGACCGAGAAAATTCAATGCCTAGAAAATATTTCAAATTTCCTAAATCTTTGATAAGAAATTTCTAGAGTAAACTAGTCTTGAGATATTGAATTTCTTTGAGATTATTGCCTGTCAACAGAATATCATCAACATAGATTAGAACTGTAGTGAAAGAAGTACTTTTACTCTTAGTAAATAAAGAGTAATCTGCTTTGGATTAAGTGTAGCCTGCATTTTGTATAGTTGTAGAAAATATGGAGAACCAATTGCGAGAAGCCTGTTTTAATCCATAAAGAGATTTATGGAGCCGACATACTGTATTCTCCCCCTGTCGGCGAAGACCTGGTGGTAAAGACATATAGACTTCCTCATCTAGATTACCATGGAGAAAGACATTTTGAACATCCAACTGATGGGTGAACCATTTTCGAGCAGCAGCAACAGTGAGTAGGCAACGAAGTGTAGTAAGTTTCGCTGTAGGAGAAAATGTTTCTATGTAATCAATACCTTCAACCTAAGTGTATCTCTTTGCTACAATTCGAGCTTTATAATGTTCAACAGAACCATCAGAGTTGTATTAAATTTTGTACACCCAACGACAACCAATAGCTTTATGACCAGGTGGTAGAGGAACGAGAGACCATGTATGATTGCGTTCCAAAGCTGCAATTTCATCATTCATAGCCTGCTACCATAACGGGTCGCCAACTGCCTCGTCATAGGTTTTAGGTTCTATCTGGGATGTAATAAGAGCTAGAAAAGCACGTTGAGTAGGAGAAAAATGAGAGAATGAAAGGTAATGATGAAAGGGATACCTGGTGCCAGTGCCGGGACTTGAGCTAGAGGTTAAATGATTGGCTTCAGAAGACATCTCATTATCCTTATGCCAAGCTGAAGGCTGTTTAGTAAGAGTAGAACGTCGGAGTGGAGCTGATGTATCAAGTGGGATAGGATTAGAATTAGTGGGCGAATCTGGAAAGGGTGGAAGAGACGACGAAGTAATAGGTGAAGGAGGAATAGGAGGTGAAGGAATAGAAGGTGGAGGATGGATGTTTGAGTAGGATGGATCATGAAGTGGTACAACAAGAGTCGAAGGAGCTAATGTCAAAGTTTGTGAAGCTGATGAAAAAGGAAAGTCATCTTCACAAAATTTAACATCATGGCTAATAAAGAATTTGTGCGATTGCATGTCATATAACTTGTAACCTTTATGACCACAAGGATATCCTACGAAAACACAAGGAATTGTCCGAGGTTCAAATTTTTGCTTAGGATGTACTATAGTTGCATAACATTTTCAACAAAAAACTTTAAGATGATGAAATGTAGGTGGTCGATTGTAGAGTGCTTCAAAGGGTGTCTTGTTAGATAACAATGATGATGACGTTCTATTTATAAGATAAACAGCCGTTAAAATGCACTCTCCCCAAAAATTAAGTGGAACCTGTGACTGAAAAAGAAGAGACCTAGCTACATTTAGGATATGGCGATGCTTACATCCTACGACTTCATTTTGTTGTGGAGTATAGACACAAGTGCGCTGAAATTTAATGCCACAAGAAGTAAAGAATGGTTGCAAAGATAGGAACTCAGTCCCATTGTCTGATCGAACTATCTTGATAGTAGTATGAAATTGAGTTTGAACGAATTTAACAAAGTTCATTAACAAATGATGTACTTCTGACTTATGTTGCATTGGAAAAACCCAAGTACATCGAGTAAAATCATCAACAATAGTGAGAAAAAAAGCAAACAAGAATGGGTAGGAATTTTATGTGGTCTCCAAATATCACAATGTATCAGATCAAAGGCATATTAAGTTGTTATTGAACTTCTTGAAAAAGACAACCTAGTTTGTTTTGCTAATGAGCAGATACTACAATTATGAGAATAACTCGCATTATTAAGATGCAATTGATTAGCTAGAAATTTAAAACGAGAAAAAGAAGAATGACCTAGGCTTAAATGCCACAAATCAGATGACTGAGATACTTGATGAGCTGAAGATTTGATTGGAGATGAAGAAATATGATAGAGACCTCCAAATTGTTTACCCGAGCCAATCATCTTTCCCGTAGCCAAGTCCTGCATAACACAAGAATCAGGATAGAAGGTGACATAACATTTCAAGTCATTGGTAAGTTTGCTGATGGACATTAGGTTTAAGTTGAATGAAGGCACACATAAAACGTTGTTTAATTTAAGGTTAGGGCTAAGAGAAATATTGCCAGTATGTGACACACGTGCTGTCTCTCCATTAGGCAAATTTATTGTAGACATGATGGCAGCCTTTGGTTCAGTCATAACAGAAGATTTTGATACTATATGATCTGTAGCTCCACTATCGAGAATCCATGAATTAGAACTCGCACAGTTAATAGATAATGTAGATATGGGAAACAAACCTGCAACATTGATGTGATTGTCAGAATTACCAGAAGGGCAATGATTGATTGCAGATAAGGCTTGTGCTATCTTTTGTAATTGCTCAGAAGAAAAATTTGGAATGAAATTAGGTGACTGTTCTTCTGTATTCAACTGAAAAACATCGGCCATATTTGCAGACGATCGATATCCACGATTATTGTGTTGATTGACTTGTCTTGTCCTTCCAAAATTATTTTTTTGTCGACACCGATCTTCTGTATGTCCCCTTCTATCACAAAACTTGCAGTGAAACTTAAGGATTCAACATTCATTGATTGTATGACCACTTTTATTGCAGTGTTCACACGATTTGTCCTTGGCGAATTTTGAATATGTTGTTTTCTTCTGCACTACTGATGTAATCGCAATCGAGTTATTCTCAGTAGGTTCAGAAGTTACCTGACGCTGCATCTTTTCTTGTACAAGTAATGAATAGGCTTGCCTCACATTAGGTAATGAAGACATCATCAATATATTATATCTCACCGTTTTATAAGACTCATTGAACCTCATAAGCAATTGTATTAACTTGTCTTCTCGCGTTGATCAATATGTATTAGACGTTGATTACAGGTAAATGGTGTGCGGTACGCTTCCAGTTCATCTCAGAGTGCTTTGAACTTGGTGAAATATGTTGACAGTGCCATGGTTCCTTGTGATATCGTTGCTATTGAATTTTGTATCTGAAAAATTGCTGGAGCATTCTTTTATGAGAATTGATCCTGAAGATCAACCCACACTTGATGAGCTGTCTTGGCGTGAATAATACCTTTAGCGATATCTGGTTCACCGGAATGAGTTAACAAAGATATTATCATACTGTTGCACTGATTTTAAAGTTTAAATTCGGTTGAATTTGCATCTTGGGTCAGCTCTTCAATTGTGCCATTAATGAAACCAATTTTCTTCTTGACAATAAGAGCATGCATCACTGATTTACCCAGGATTGGTAATTTGCTCCATTTAATTTGATTGGAACAAATGAATATCCTGACTGATCAGTGATGAATATAATAAGAATGTGTTAAATCAACATCAGAAATTTTGAAGCTAGATTTGGCTGATTCCGCCCTAAAGGAAATTTTGATATTTAAGAACATCAAGATCGACGCTCTAATAACATGTTAAGAATGAGAAATAGAAATAGAATTTAGATCGAAAGGATGATCTTCATTCATGTTTACCACAAGCTATCACCTAATACCTAAAATATGAAAAATATATAATTAACTAAATCTTGTAAATAAATAAAATATATCATTAATCAAATCTAAATCTAACCTAAAATATCCCTAAATATTTTAGATATACTATATCTTAATACACCCACATGCTCTCTGTCTTCCTTTCAAAGTCATGTATTTGATAATATTTTCCAAGATCCCAAATTTTAAATGGTTCACAGCTATTCCTAAAAATACATATAAAATGGGTGTGTTGGTTTCCAAACCTGGAGCTCAGTATTGATTGGGTTTGAAGAATGGCAACTTGTTGTGAGGAAGCAAATGGGGGGAAGAAAATTGTAATAACAGGAGTGAGCCAAGGATTGGGACGAGCATTGGCATTGGAGTTGGCAAAACGCGGCCACACTATAATCGGTTGTTCCCGCACCCAAAACAAGTTAGACTCCCTTCAGCAACAACTCTCCAATTACTCCTCACCCAATCATCTACTCCTCAAGGTTGATGTGGTATGTCATTACCCCATCTCTTTGTTTATCCATACATATGCTTTAATTTCGTAATTAAAACACCTGAGATTCTGGGTTTTCGAGGTCAGATGAGAGCGTTGAAACGATGGTCCGTACTGTAATCCACAAATTTGGAGCTCCAGACATAATTGGTATATGCATATTACAACTGTTTTTCTTCTCTTCTATATTTTCATTTAAGTGCAACCCATGAGAATTGAGGCTTTTTTTTTTTTGTACAATAGTAAACAATGCAGCTACAATCAATAAGGAGAATGCCAAGATTGGAGACATTAGTAGAGAAGAGTTTGATGATATCATTGACATAAATGTGAAGGGGACAGCTAATGTATTGCGTCACTTTATTCCTCTTATGATTCCTAGAAACCAAGGGATCATTGTGAATATAAGTTCTCTATTTGGAAGGATGGGAGCTCCGCTGGTATGCAATACTATTTTGCCCATGTGTTTAGTTTAGTATTCAGTGAGTTAATGTTTTTGTGTTTTGGTTTTTAAGGTTTCACCATATTGTAGTTCAAAGTGGGCGGTTGAGGGCTTAAGCAAATCGGTAGCAAAGGAGTTGCCAAATGGAATGACAGTTGTGGCATTGGATCCTGGCCTTATATACACTGAAATGCTTTTGTGTAGCCTGGGCAAGGTCGCTTCTAATTGCCAATCTCCCCAGGAATGGTATGGTTTTGGTAATAAAAATGAATAAAATTATACATATTTAGGTATGGTTTTATTCAGTTTCATCTTTTGTAAATTGTGGTAGGGCTTTCAAGGCGGCTTCAATGATTCTAAATTTTACAAATGCTTATAATGGTGCATCTCTCACGGTTGAAGACCCAGGCACTCTGCCAACCTAATAATTTCTCATACCCTTTTTAGTCATTGTCCTTTAGAAAAGTCTCAGAGTAATGTATTTGAAACAACATGCAATTTCATTACCTTGCTTCTTTTGTATTATTATTGAACCTTTCCATTGTTATTTCCTTACAAATGCTTATATATTTCTACTTTTCTGTCTAGTAATAAGTATTTTACGATAAGCCAACCTAAATTCTCATTCCAACCATCCAAGCTTTTTGTTGAAGCAAAAATTTTTGATTCAAAAAAATTAACATCTTATACAAAATTCGAATTAAGGCTAGAATTAAATTACTCCCTAAAATCAAAAATCTAGAAGCAAGAGTCATTCCATAATCGAACTTGATAAATGACTCAAATACAATATCCCATATAAATTGCATAAAACTTATGAAACAACCAAAATGATACTAACCATAAAAGTCTCAATTTGAAACTAAATTTCATTATCTTCAAATACTCACTAAATAAGTTAGTGGTTATGATTTACTCTTGTTACCAAGTTAGTGGCCATGATTTACTCTTGTTACCCTTTAAATCTCCACAAAGTTATGGACAAGTTGACAAGTAATTTTCCACCATTTTTTCCACTATAACAAATAATGAAATTAAAATAATAAATAAAGTTTTCTAACAAATTATCAATCCAGTGCAGTTTATAGAAACTTCATCCGCTACTTGAACCGTGCACATATTAACTTTAAAGCTCCAAATGGTTCTTCCACAATCGAATCAATTTGTAATACATGAAATAATGGTTGAACCGAGCCTATCAAATTTTATAGGTGAAGAATGAATGCTCGTTGAATGGTTAAACCGAGCCTATCAAATTTTATAGGTGAAGAATGAATGCTTGTTGAATCTTTTCGGCCTTAGATCATGTAATAAGTCCACTTAAAATATTTGGAACATATTGATCCTTATCAACTTCCCCCGCTTAGGAAGGATTCGTCATCGAATTAAGAAAATCATCACCTACATAAAAAAACTCAAGTTAGCAACATTGAAAGTAGAATGTACTTAAAATTCTCCTAGAAGTTCAATTTGATAGGCATTGTTATTAATTCTTTCAAGAACTTGATAAGGTCATACCCTCTTGGATGTTACTTTGTTTTCCTTTTGAGATGAGAATCGCTGCTTGCGAAATTGTATCCAAACCCAAGTCAACGGGTTGAAAAATAATTTTAATCCGTCCTTTGTTAATTCTTGAAACAATTTTGAAATTTTGTTTCTCAATTTTCTCTTTGGTTGCTTCACTTGCAAAAGTATTAGAAGTTAGATTAAATCCATAAACAATTTCAAAAGGAGAAACATAAATGGTACTATGAATTGCTCTATTATATCTAAACTTACAAATGACAAATATTCATGCGAAGGCTTAATATTCTTAGAAATTATAGCCGTAAGCAATGTTCCTAATGTTCTATTAACTAACTCAGTTTGCCCATCAGCGTGAGGCTGACATGTAGTTGAAAACTCCAATTTGGTACCCAATTTATCTCACAATACTTTTCAAAAGTGACTTGAAAAATTAATGTTCCTATCAATAATTCTGGGATCCCATGTAATCTTACTACTTTCCTAAATAATAAATAAGCAACATGCTTTGCACATGGTGTCTTGTTGCATCCAAAGTCATTTTAGTAAACCTGTGTTCCACAACAAATGCTATAGTTAACCTCTTTAGTGTGCCACAAAATAAAAACAAAATTCATATATATATTAGTCAAGTTTGTTAAGTATTGAAGGAAGTATACCATCTTTGGTTGTTATTTATATTTAACTTCTTTGCATTTAAAATATGGGCTACAAAATTTATGAACATCTTGCTTCATCTTTGACCAAAGGAAGTGTTATTCAACCTATCATAAGTTTTATTAGTGATATATTATGAACCTTTGCAGCTAGACAAAAGCTTGAGTAAAGAAAAAAATATCTATATAGACTTTTGCTCCATAAGTGAAGAAATTGCACATTAGAGAGATAACATTTATCACATGAAAATGGAAGGACAAAATGATAGAGAAGTGCCTAGAGTTATTCCAAGCTTAAGGTGTGTGTTATTTTTCAATCTCCATACTATCATTTCTTTTATTTCTAGCCAACGCCAATTTGGAGAACATGTTAAAGAAAAAAGAAAATGGAGGAAGTCGATTTGGAGTTAGTTTTGGAACTATTCCTCGACGAGTAGGATAAAACGAACATCAACTCAAGAAATTTAGTGAACCCTGCACATGTCATTATTATGACTGTTTGCATGTATTATGTGATGCTATGCTATGTTATAAATTACGCTATGTCGTATTATGTTATGTTATAAGCTATGCTATAATACGACTATACCATGTTGCCATGTTGTGGAATTATATTTATGATATTGATGATATGATGCATAAAACTCCATACACCAAACTATGTAAATAATGTTAATTAGGGAAGATATGACAATTATTATGTATGCATGTCTCACAAACTTGTTATGTCATGAATGAATGGAGGTATGACTTGAATCATAAACTTATGTCATGGTTTTAAGCTATGGAGACCTCATGCATTTATGTGTGTCATTTGCACCACGATACTTTCCCATTGTGATTAATATGAATGCGTACATTATGATATCTATTTTTGTCGTGATATTACGTGGGTCCTTTCTCCATGTGGTTTCCGGTAGCATGAGCATGCACTAACCTGATGAATGAGGCCTAGGGAATATATACATGAGTCTGTCTGGTGAGACTATGTGCACGTGCGTGGGCCGTGTGTATACAAGTACTACACATTCAACCACTGATTTTAAAGTCATGTCATGATGGTTTTATGAAATGATAGGTCCCACCATATTGCATTTGATTGCATTTTTTTTACTTCAATAGTGGGGTTACTTATGGATTATTTCTTAAAATACTAAGTCACATGTTACTCTTCTTTTTGAGGTAAAGGTAAGGTACTCTCGTATGGATGTGACGGCGTTGCGGTGAAGGCCATAAGATCAAAGCTAGGGTAGTTGTGTTCATGTTTGTTTTAGTAGTCCTTACGTTATATCACACCATCGCCTTATTTTTTTAATCTCATTTAAATTCACATTAGCTATTTTCTGCTATATTGTTCATAGCAATATTGTTTTAATGAATTTATTATGAACGTTCAAGTCCACAACATCGTTTATGAAATATTTTCATAGACTTTTCCACACGTATTAACCATGTCATGCATGTAGTAGTATCTATATTTGATTAGGAAAATTAGGGTCTTATAGGCCTAGCCTTGTCACTACCTAGAAGGGAGAGACAAGGGGACAAAAGAAATTATGAAAAAACTCTTTTCTATTACACTGTACACTTTTCTTTTTGTCTCTTGTTCTTACTCTCTACCTCTTACATTTTACAATAAAAACGAATCAATTTATAGGGTTTCTAAGATTTAAAATTAGCTATCCCATCACCCATTTTCTCCTAGAATGATTCTTGGCCGTTTATATTTTCTTTGGTCTTTTCCTTCTTACGACTCAAATTTTCAAAAGTAAGTTAAATGAAAAAAAGAAAAGAAGTGTACCAACAAAAATCCCCCATAAACTTCAATGCTCCTATCGTCTGTCATGCCAATCGCCTTCTTTTTATAAAGATGTCTGCAACTTGATCCTGACTTGCCACATGCAGCAATTTTGCGTTTCCTTCCTTCACATGATCTCGGATTAAATTTAATCGAACTTCAATGTGTTTGCTTATTTCATGGTTTACTAGGTTCTTGGCCAACTCAATTGCTGATTTGTTATCAACTTGTATTACGGTTGCACCTCGATGCCTTAGCTCCATCTTACTCAACAATTTTCTAAGCCATATTGTGTGACACACACACCAAGATGTTGCTACATACTCAGCTTCACACGTCGAGAGTGTCACGATCGGTTGTTTCTTTGAAAGCCAAGTAAATGCTGTGTTGCCCATGAAGAATACATAACCCGATGTACTTTTTCGATCGTCTATGTCTCCGCACCAATCACTGTCAGAGTAATCGACTAACTTGTAATATTCTGTTTTTGAGTAGAATAACCCAAGTGACAACATTCCTTAGACGTATCGTAGGATTTGCTTCAACGCCTTCCAATATGAATAAATTGGCTCCTCCATGAACCAGCTTATTATGCAGACACTTGATGAAAGATCTAGCCTTGTGCATGTAAGATAGCGAAGGCTTCCCACCAGACTTCTGTACCTATTTGCATCTACTCGTTCTCCTTCATCGTACTTTGAGAGCTTTGCACCTGGTTTCATTGGTGTAGATACCGGGTTGCAATTTTTCATCTTGTACTTCTTCAAAATTTCCTTTGCATATTTCTCATGTGATGTAAAAATACATGTTTCTCCTTGTTTAACCTCCAAACTGAGAAAAAACTTCAACAAGCCTAAGTCTGTCATCTCAAATTCTCGCGTCATTGTGCTTTTGAACTCTTCTATCATTCTATTATTGTTGCCTGAGAAGATGAGGTCATTGACACAGAGAGCGACAAGTATCACATCGCCTCTACTCTTCTTTGTATAATGTGAATGTTCGTGGGAACATTGCTTGTACCAATTCTCCTTGAAGTATGTGTCGATACGAGTCTTCCATGCTCGCGGTGCTTGTTTCAACCCGTAAAGTGCCTTCTTCAATTTTAGTACCTTCTTCTCTTCTCCAATTTTTACGTACCTGGGAGGTTGTTCAAAGTATACTTCTTCTTTAAGCACACCATTCAAGAATGCTGACTTGACATCCATTTGAAAAACAGGCCAATTGAATTGGGTTGCTTGGGAAATGATCAATCAGATTGTGTGCATTCTAGCGATGGGAACAAACACTTCGTCATAGTCGATTCCCGTCTTTTGCTTGTATCCCTTCGCAACAAGTCGCGCCTTGACCGTTCAATCTCGCCTTGAGCATTCATTTTTTTCTTGAATATCCACTTCCCACCTATGGGCTGACTTCCTACCGGTAATTTTGTCACTTCCCATGTGTTGTTGCGATGAATTAGTTTGCCACTTCATGTCTCGCACCGCCTCTTCAAAGCTGATATGTTCAGCATCTTCCAGAAGACATACAAGGTGTACCTCATTAGTTGAGTCATACAAATCTCGCAAACTCCCATTTTGGGTTGTC